TGTTATTTTTATTATCCTCTAATATTTTAGAGAAATATAGTTTCTTACATCTCCTCAAAATCTCAGTTAATTTGTTCTTATATGACTTATATTTTTCTTCCGCCTTCTTTGATCTGTCCTTTATGAATTCCTTATATAACGCATTCTTCTTTTTACATGCATTCTGTAATCCCTTACTCATCCACGGTTTCCCACTGTAATTCCTTTTGTTTTTATACTGCTTACGAGGACAGTTCCTGTCATATACTTTCTTGAATATATTTAAAAATTGCTCATATGCTTTATCTAAGTCTTCCTCTCTGTAAACTGATTCCCAGTTTTGCCCCATAAAATCCTCTTTTAGCCTCCTTACAGCATGTTCATTCGTCACCCTCCTATAGAAAAGATTTGTTTTTGGCCTCTCTTTTCTATACTTTTCTATTTCCTTTGAAGTTTAAGGGAAAAAAATCTATACCAAGTCCTTAAAGAGATTCCTATCACAAAATCACACCACACTGGTGAAGAAAATATTTCTGCTATTCTAGTTATGTAAAGTAGCCCCAAAAATGTAGACTATTATCTTTTCCTAATAGCAGTTTCTTTTCCTTTCTAAGTTGTCATTCAAATGTTTTGAAAATATTTTTTAAATTATTGTACTAATTGAAGATTGTGTATATATTTTTTCAGATGGTTAGCATGTGATGAATCACCAGTTCCATGTGACTTACAGTGTTAGCCTTATAGAATGACTGAAGATGGATTAATGCATGGGCCTTAATTGATTAAGTAGTCTGACAGGTCAGGAGGTGATAAATGATACCTCCTGCAAGGAATACACAGTTTACTTTTGTAATGTTTTTTTTATTCATCACAGTCAAAATTATATGACATGGATGGTTGGAAACACAGGGCCCCTCTTCCCGTAGCCCCATTTTTCATTAGGATTCATCATTCATTTTTCTCCATTAGTTGTCTATTAAAGGAGGGGAGGCAGGCTTTGGTGGATACTGGCTCACTCTTAGCAATTGCACTTCATTAAAAGTTTTGCTGTAAAATCAACATGCTATCTCCTAAGGGTTTTGTTTTGTTGTAAATTAGTTTCTATCAGTCAGTCAGTTAACAATATTTATACATCCATGGAGGGGAAAAGGGTGTAAAATGAATATTTATACGCACTGCTGGTTTTAAATAAAGTATTTCAAGGTTCAAGGATTTTATTGTCAATTCACCATATGTGCAGGACATACAGAAATCAAAATACCCTTTCTCTCTCACCTAGTATTGGGTGCCATAACATTTATAAACTAAAACAGAATAAAAATAGAATAGAATAGAATAAGAACTGGATTAACGTAATTGGGATAAATCTAAACGGTACAGCCAATAAGCTGTGACTCAAAAATGTTTACAGTCAGTGACAGTAGTGTATATCAATAACAGGAGATTGTCAGATGTTTCAGCATCACCAGGGCATATATAGTTCTGTTATTCATACTTTCTTTCCATCCTAGTAGGGTGCTTTCTTTTTTTTTTCACTCGAGCAGAGGAAATATGTTTTAATAAGCTCCAAAGAAGACCCTACCTAATGTCCAAAGATTAATCCACGATTAAAAAGGCTGTCTTGCAGCTCAGCCACATATTCATTACAGCCAGATTACTTTTTCTTTTTACATTTATGAAAAGGGCTCATGTTCTGAAATATAATATGACCTAATGGTGTAATAGGCACAACAGAGTTCCCCGGTTTACATAAATTAAGCAAGAAACTTTTAAAGTAATGCCAGAATGTTTTACTGTATATTATTACTGTTAGTAAATAAAGTTGTCTCAATATCCCGCTCTAGTAGTAGTTATATAACCTATAGTAACCATCCTATAGTTGTCAATTAACCATAACATGTACATCAGATGTACAGATGTAATACTTCCTATTGAAATTGTTCACAGACAACAGCATTGTAACAGCATTAGGCTATCTTGACTGTACAACTTTGTTCTAATAGTTTTGAAGACAAAAAATAGTGTGAAATGTTGGTCTGTTGTTAAAAATTGAAGGTGCCAAGTTAGCTATGAAATCAATGTATACATACATATATAGGCTACATATATCCACAAATACATATACCCATGAATATATAACCTACACAGATTTCACTTCCTTGTTGCTATTTCCTAGTTATACTTCATAAAATAAACAGGCAGACAGAAAGACAATTAAAATCATTACCTTTAAATAGTTAAGATTAAGTATATTTAAAGAGCCTGCACACCCACAGGCCACCCACACATGTGTTTTCAATTTGTTGCCTGATTAGTCCTCAGGACTGTGGACCTGTGCTAACCATGTTTGATGGCCCTTT